TTATTCCAGGATCCAGGCTGACATTCCCAGCTCACCCTGGTTTCCACGTCCGTCCATTCCGAGTCCGCGGCGTCCCCGGCAGGGTCGGGCTGGGGAGGGGACGAGCGGCGCTTCCGCCTGGAATGGGAATTCATGGAATTACAGCACAAACCTCATGGAATTCACCACATCCCAACAATGGAAAACCTCTTCTGTCTTCCTTGATAAATCCTGGATCCAGCGGCTCCAGCAGCCATAAATTTCTCCAAATTTATGGGATTTCAAGTTGGAATTTCCCATTGGATCGGAAGAGGTTCCACGCGCGCAGCCGGAATTCCAAAATTCCAGAAGCTCAAATGAAAGATTTCACCATTGGAATTTTGGAAATTCCAGGATTCCAGAAGCTCCAATGAAAGGTTTCACCATTGGAATTCTGGGGATTCCAGGATTCCAGAAGCTCAAATGAAAGGTTTCACCATTGGAATTCTGGGGATTCCAGAAGTTCAAATGAAAGGTTCTATCATTGAAATTTTGGGAATTCCAGAATTCCAGAAGCTCAAATTAAAGGTTCCATCACTGGAACCTTGGGAATTCCAAGATTTCAGAAGCTGAAATGAAAGGTTCCACAACTGGAATTTTGGGGATTCCAGGATTCCAGAGGCTGGACTCACCCGGTGGGAGATTCCTGCTTGAGGGTCTCGATGTCCGTGAACTGCACGGCCTGGCCCCCACCCCTGGTCTTGAACACGTCCCCCTGGAATGGGAAAAGGACAAGGAAAAAGGGGACTGGGACAGGAACAACCCCGGGATTCATCCCAGAATTCCAGCCCAAAGAGATACGGACACAAATAAGCTCCTCCCATTTCACTGCCAATGGATTGTTGCTGTTTTCCACAGGAAAAGGCATAAATCATGGGATCCCAAAAATCATGGGATGCACAAACAATGGAATTCCAAAAACCATGGAATTCCACAAGCTGTGGAATTCATGGATAATGGGATTCTCAAATCATGAGATTCACGGACAATGGGATTCTAAGATCATGGGATCCCATGAACCATGGAATCCCACAAATCATGGAACCCAACCATGAAAACTCCAAACTAAATTCCAGCAATTCCAATGCAACATTCCCAAGGTCACTTTGAGGAGCTCGGTCTGGATCTCAGCCCTGTCCCCCAGCCCGGAGCACTGAGTGCCACATCCAGGAATTCCTGGGGTAATTTAAACTGAATTTTGGCAATTTCCAACCCAACATTCCTGAGATTCCCGAGGTCTCATTGATGAGCTCGCTCTGGATCTCAGCCTTGTCCCCAGCCCGGAGCACATCCAGGAATTCCTGGGGTAATTTTTAACCAAATTCTGGCGATTCCAACCCGAGATTCCCGAGCTCACCTTGATGAGCTTGGTCTGGATCTCCCCGTCGGAGGCGAGCTCCTGGTGGGTCAGCAGGTAGCGGTCACACCTGGCCAGGGCTCGCTCGCTGGGCGAGTCCACGGTGATGGCCCTGGGCACGCGCGGCTGCAGCAGCGTCTCCGTGGGCACGTGGGACGGCGGCCGGTGATCCACCCAGCGCTCGCCGGCACTGCGGGAACGGCGCGGCCGCAGCGGAGCCGCCGGACCAACCTGGGAATGGGAACAGGGAACGGGAGAGTGGGAATGGGCACTGGGAATGAGAACAGGGAATTGGAATAGGAAATGGGCACTGGGAATGGGAATAGGAGATGGGCACTGGGAATGGCAGGGATGGGGCCGATGATCCACCCAGCGCTCGCCGGCACTGCGGGAACGGCGCGGCCGCAGCGGAGCCGCCGGACCAACCTGGCAATGATGGGAAAGTGGGAATGACAACTGGGAATGGGAGACTGGGAATGACAACTGGGAATGAGAACTGGGAATGGCAGGGATGGGGCCAGTGATCCACCCAGTGCTCGCCGGCACTGCGGGAACGGCGCGGCCGCAGCGGAGCTGCCGGAGCAACCTGGGAATGATGGGAACAGGGAATGGGAGAGTGGGAATGGGAGACTGGGAATGGAGCCAGTGATCCACCCAGCGCTCGCCGGCGCAGCTGCAGCAGAGCTGCTGGAGCAACCTGGGAATGGGAACAGGGAATGGGCACTGGGAATGAGAACAGGGAATGGGAGAGTGGGAATGGCAACTGGGAATGATGGGAGAGTGGGAATGGGAATAGAGAATGGGCACTGGGGATGGACACAATTGCAGGAGGGATTGGAGGAGACACAAGGGAGAGGGAAAGGGAGACACAGGGAAAAGGGAAACGCCAGGAAAACATGAGGACACCCCCAGCTAGAGCAGAGTGTGGCTACCTCAGAGCTCCCTAAAAGTGGGAATTCTCAACTTCCAAGGAAGCTCCAAACACCAAGAGGGCGGCGAGGGCAGCCAGGCTCAGTCTGGGACCAGCAGGACACGTTAGAGACAGCTCTACTCTACGTTAGGCAGGCTCGAGGGCTCAGGATCAGAGAACCTTTAAGCCGGGCTAAAGGACAGAGAACTGTAAAGCTGGGCTCAACCCCACTAGGCCAGGACTAACCCTGCAGCACGGATCCTCTTCCTGCTCTAGCTCCTCTCTATCCCTGGGCACCTCAGGCACTCGGCTCCAGCACATCCCTCTCCTCCTGGCGGGGCTGGGCCAGGCCGAGCCCGGCTCCGCTCCCACTTTATTCCTGGATTTGGGAATGCTGGCTGGCTCGCAGGAAGGGCCTCTCTGCTCCCACTCCAGCACGCAGGAGGCCACAGAGATGCTGCTGCAAGAGTTGGAGCGCCGGGGCACCCGCGGGGCCACCCGGCTGTCCCCAGGCTCGGCGGGGTCACCGCAGCTCTGGGGAGAAGGGAGAGAGCAGTGAGACACAGAGCAAGCAAACAGAGGCAGAAAAATTCCAGGGATTTCCCCCTTCCTGGAGGTGGGGGAATGGATGAAGAACAAACAGGGCAACAGGGAACTCGAGCTGCTCCAAAACTCTGGGCTCAAATTCCAGCAAGGACACGACAGCTCTGGGGAGAAGGGAAGCATCAGTGAGACACAGGGAGAGACAGATCCAGGGATTCCCTGTGGATATCAGGAGGGGGATGAGAGAACGGATGAAGAACAAACAGCAGACAAGGAACTCAAAGCAAGCTGCTCTACTCTGTAGCTTGGGGGCTACTAATGACTAAAATCCCTGCTCTTCATCCCTAGAAATGCTGTTCCCTAAGTGCAGAGGGTTTGGGGGTGACTCACGGGCACGGGGGAAGGAGACACGGATCTGGGCACAGGCTTTTCCCGATCCCTTTCCCGGGAAGGCCTCTCTGGTCTCTCTGCTCTGGGCTCGGTGACGATGGCCTTGAGCTGCTTCAGCTTCTCATCCTTCACCCACAGCTTGTTCTGCATCTCCAGCTGCTTGGCTGCCACCCGCCGCTCCTGCAGGGACAGGGAGAACATGGAAAAGATGGAATTGCTGAGGCTGGAAAGCCCTCCCGGATCAGCCAGTGCATGCTGGGACTGAACCCAGCCCAGAGCCCTGAGTGCCAGGTGTTCCTTGGATACCTCCAGGGATGGGGATTCCAAACCTCCCTGGGCAGTTCTTCCCTTTCCAGGAGGGAATTTTCCCAGTATTCAGCCTGAGCCTGTTCCCTCTCCTCCTGTCCCTGTTCCCTGGGAGCAGAGTCTGACTCCCCAGCTGTTCCTTTCCATTTTCTCTCCCTTCCCATTCCTTTCCTTTCCATTTTCTCTCCCTTCCCATTCCTTTCCTTTCCATTTTCTCTCCCTTCCCATTCC